CGTACCTCACCCGGGGGAACTGCGATCCCCCCCAAAATGACCTCTGATCTTAGTCCAGCATCCTGTCTCACGCAGTGGCCAACCAGTTCCTCTGGAGGTCGAACAATAGAGCACAGAGGACGAGGCTTTCATAAGAACACCAGAAGAGCCCTGCTGGATCAGACCAGTGGTCATAAGAACATAAGAGAAGCCAATGTTGGATCAGGCCAATGGCCCATCCAGTCCAAATACCAAGTGCCCTCAGGAGGTCCACCAGCGGGGCCAGGACACTAGAAGCCCTCCCACTGTTGCCCCCCTCCCAAGCACCAAGAATACAGAGCATCACCTGCCCCAGACTGAGAGTTCCTACCTGTTGTTGTTGTTCAGTCACACAGTCGAGTCCGACTCTTCGCGACCCCATGGACCAGATCACGCATCCTATCTGTACCTTGTGGCTAACCACCACCGATGGACCTCTGCTCCATATGTTGATCCAGTTCCCTCTTGAAGCCATCCATGCTTGTAGCTGCCACCACTTCCTGTGCCAGTGAATTCCATGTGTTGATTCACTGCCACAGGATGAATGTTTCTTTTTTTAAAAAAAATATTTCTAAATGGGCTATGCCTCAGAATGATTCTTGATTTATCTCGAGGGTGGAAACCAGAGGCAGTTTTTTACCATTTTATTAACATCAAGGCCAGCTCTCCCAAGGAAATCAGCAAGTCAAGTATGGAACGGAAGCACTGCAGGTGTTCGGTCAGCAAATCCAGCACACTGAGAAGGTCCCTCCTTAAAACTGCCAGGTTCCTGAGTGCTTCGTTGGGGCAGAATCAGGAAGACGCTCCTAATCAAGAAGAAAAACCTAGCCGCCGCTGTTCCCAGGCATGCAAGCAATGCTCCCTCTAACCTGAGGAGTCTTGTGAGCAAAGATTCTACTTTGTGAGCTCCTGGCATTAAAGCTGTGAGCAAAAATTCTACTTTGTGAGCTCCTGGCATTAAAGCTGTGAGCGAGCAGTTTGGCTGCTGCATAAATTAGTTCGCTCTGGAGCCCTCCTTCCTGAGCAAAGGCAAAAATCTGGGAGCCGGAGGCTAAAAAACCATGAGCTAGCTCACACTAACTCAGCTTAGAGGGAACACTGCCCGCAATGCTTTTCTGTGCTGGAGACACACTGGGAGGATTCTTGGAAAGCATGCAAACGCACACTTCTTGTAAGTCGCTCTCTGGTTTGATAAAATCTTTTCACCATGTATACATCGCACTGTGGGTGGAAGGGAGGGGAAATGAATTCACAACCCCGGCCCCGTTCTCAGCCATGACCAAATTCTGTTGAATGTTTGTCCATATCAGAAGAAGAGACTGGATTTATACCCCGCCCTTCACTCAGAGTCTCAGAGTGGCTTATAAACGCCTTTCCCTTCCCTTCCCCACAACAGACACCCTGTGAGGTAAAAGGAGAAGAGATTGGATTTCTACCCCGCCCTTCACTACCCAAAGGTGTCTCAGAGCGGCTCACAAACTCCTTTCCCTTCCCCTCCCCACAACAGACACCCCCTGTGAGGTAGGCAGGGCTGAGAGAGCCCTGAAAGAAACTGCTCTTTTTCAAGGACAGCTCTTTTCAGAACTATGGCTTGCCCAAGGTCATCCAGCAGCTGCAAGTGGAGGAGTGGGGAATCAAACCCAGCTCTCCCAGATTAGAGTCCACGCACTCAACCACTACACTTACTGTCAAACAGAAACACAGAGCTGGAAGGTATCCCTAGGGGTCCTCTAGTCCAACCCCCTGCACAATGCAGGAAATTCACAGCCGCCCCCCTGCCCCCGCAGTGACCCCTGCTCTCTGCCCAGAGGAAACTATGGCTTTCCCAAGGTCATCCAGCAGCTGCAAGTGGAGGAGTGGGGAATCAAACCCAGCTCTCCCAGATTAGAGTCCACGCACTCAACCACTACACTTACTGTCAAACAGAAACACAGAGCTGGAAGGTATCCCTAGGGGTCCTCTAGTCCAACCCCCTGCACAATGCAGGAAATTCACAGCCGCCCCCCTGCCCCCGCAGTGACCCCTGCTCTCTGCCCAGAGGAAATAGTACCCACCTCACATTTCTATACAGCTGTAAACATTGCAAGTGCTTTGCACAAATAATCCTCTGAACACCCCTGTAAGGTAGGCTGGTGGCGTCATCCCGCATGTGACCGACGGGGGACTGAAGGAGCAGGAGAGCGGCCATGGAAGGGATTTGTGGCAAAGGAGACATCTGAACTCAGACCGTACCTCGTGGTCTCCACCGTTCCATCGCAGCAGCTCCTCTCCAGTGTTCCCTCTAAGCTGAGTTACTGTGAGCTAGCTCATCGTTTTTTAGCCTCCGGCTCACAGATTTCTGTCTTAGCTCAGGAAGGATGGGGCTCCAGAGCCAAACTAATTGATGCCGCATCAAAATCGCTCGCTCTCAACTTTAATGCCGGTAGCTCACAAAGTAGGATTTTTGCTCACAGGACTCCATGGCTTAGAGGGAGCATTGCTCCCATCCTGTCTATGGAAAAGAAGATGCTGAGCAAGCAGAGTCTCGCAGCCTAGTTCTTCTCCCAGTTATGTTCCCCTTATACAGTCAGGAAGTTATTTTCACGGGGAACCGTTCAAACGTGCAATTCCCCCCCGACTCCCCAAGGACGGTAACATAGCTGTCTTTGCAACGGTCCAGAGAAACCCAGCCGGACACGCACTCTGGGCTGTGGAAAAGGAGCGTTCCAGGAAAAAAAAGAGTTACAGGGGCTTGGCAGGATGGAGAGAATCAGAAACCTTGGGTTTATCCATGCCAGAATGGCAAGCCAAGACAGAGGGGGAAATATCACCTGAAGCAAGAACAAATGCTGTCGTCTTCCAGTTTGACTGAATCTCCGTAGGCGAATGGACCTAGGCGAATGGATCCACTTTATTCTAGGTTTTGCAGAGAGGAGGAGGAGGAGGAGAGGAAGAAGAAGGAGGAGGAGGAGGAGATTGGATTTAAACCCCACCCTTCACTACCCGAAGGAGTCTCAGAGCGGCTTACAATCCCTTTCCCTTCCCCTCCCCACAACAGACACCCTGTGAGGTAAGTGGGGCCGAGAGAGCTCTCATAACATAAGAACACAAGAGAAGCCAATGTTGGATCAGGCCAGTGGCCCATCCAGTCCAACACTCTGTTGTCACACAGTGGCCAAAAATACCAGGTGCCCTCAGGAGGTCCACCAGTGGGGCCAGGACACTAAAAGCCCTCCCACTGT